CATGTGCCTGAATCAGTCATGTGACCATGGGACACTGAGATGGTCATAACAATGAGGGACCGGTTGTAAGTCCCTTTTTATCCAGCGGTTGCAAGTTGAGGACTACTTGCATCCCACTCCTAAAGATAGAGGTTCCCCTCACACATCTGTGCAAGTCGTTCCTGACTCTAGGGGGTGGTGCTCATCTCCGTTTCAAAGCTGAAGAGCCAGCGCTGTCCGAAGACATCTCCGTGGACATGTGGCCACCATGACTAAACATCGAAGGCTCACAGAATGCTGTTCCCTTCCCACCAAAGGGGGTCCCTATTTATCTACTTGCATTTTTATATGCTTTCGAACTGCTAGGTTGACAGAATCTGGGACAAGTAACAGGAGCTCACTCAGTTAGGCGGCACTAGGGATTCGAACAGCTGACCTTCTGATCGACAAGCTCAGCGTCTTAGCCACTGAGCCACTGCGTCCCACTCCTATCAGCCACTAACTGGAAATGGCGAGATCAAGAAGCCCAACCAAATGAATCTGTTTATGAGCCTGTCCCCTTATGAGACCCACAGATGAAATAATTCTGTGCGTCTCTTTCACCTTTTCATCGCAACTTCCCTCCGGTTGGTTCCTTCTGAGGAGAGGAAACAGAATAACTCCAGTTCATGGGTGAACAAAGATGAAATAAAATACCTGACCTCCCAGAGAAGGGGCCTTGGAACGTCGGCTCAAATCCATGTTGCCACTGATGGGGTTCAGGGCCATGCGGCTGGAAAAAGAGAAAGTGAGAGAGAAAGTGGTCTGTTTGTAACATTCTTTGGTGGCAGCTGGTCTCCCACTTGCCTTCTGTCCTTAGTAAAACACAAAGTGTTGAGGGGGAAGAGACTACTACAGCTGTCATTCTTCCAAGTTCTCCTTACATATACACCCACAGCTTGCTGTTTGGAGTAAATGTTTGTCAGTATAGACATCTGTCCCTGTACTCAGATCAGAAAATAAAAGATACCACATCAGAAAATACAAGATACTGACTTTAAGTTGGCTATTTCATTCACTGAAGTATTTTTTCCTCCCAGGATGTTGGGGCTTAGCCTTACACAGATCTTAAAGACTGTTGGCAAAATCATTATTCCAACAGTTTTGTTTTCTGTTTATCCAATGAATCCATTCTGTCTCTTGTATCTGGTTCATGATTTTAACTGCATGCTCTCAGTACATTCTTCTAGTGGAAGAGTTCCATCCAACTAGAACCAACTAGTTCCAACTAACTAACTAGTTTGAGCATTTTCTTTACCAACATAACTTGGTACTTTAAAAAGTGTTAATTTTCTCTGCATTATTTCACACATTTCTATAATAAAACCTAGCTTGTTTTTAATGTGTGTTTATTTGTATCTAGGCTTTAGTGTAGCCCCTATAATTATATTATTTCACCTTGTTTACATGGAATGAAGAATCAGCGTTGGGTATCGTTTTAAATAATTCTGCCAGAATTTCTTTTTATCACTCTTTTCATTAAAAAACCTCCTTTCTCAAAACTGCAGGAATCCAGTATTTAAAACTTCCCATAGTTCACCCAACTGGCATAGCTTAAATGGCTTCTTGTAAATATATTCCTATAAACCAATTCACTTCATTTCTCCCTCAAGATAATCTTGACTCCTGTTGAGTTTTATTGTTAATTTATTTAGAACGTTTTCATGGCTGCCCAACTCAAATGCGACTCTGGGTGGCATGCAAAAAAATCATTAAACTAAAACACAGAAGAAAAATAACACGCCCCATTAAAGGCAAACGAAAACAATTAAATGGCAATCAGGACGAAACAATCGGCTAATAAATAAACCACCACTATTAAATCGCAATCAGGATTAAAAAACTCCAACTGGGAGCTCTACTCGTCCTGACCCAAGTGCCAGGAAAAAAGCCAGGCCTGAAATGCCTTTCCAGAAAGCCTGCAAGGTCAGGATTCAGGGCCCATCTTTCATCCCATGGATTTAGGGCTCAATCCAGCTTGATATTTGTGAAGGTACTTTTCAGCTTTCCAATCTTGTTCACAGTCTTGGGATTCCCTGATGGATTTCCTCCCGTCCAAATAATAACCAGATTGGACTCTGCTTGGCATTTCTGAAAACACCCAGGATCAGCCTCTGAAGTCTCTGCCCAATTTTCTCTGCACGGAAATGCTGAAAAAGACCACTGTGGCGGGATCCAATCTGAATCGGTCACTGGGACCAGAGGTTGATTCTTCTGAGCTTTCGGTCTCGTGCTGGAGCCCATCCTCAGGGATCTTCTCTCTCTACAAAAGGTGTCACTTTGGGGAGAAAGAGACTGGCTGGGAGATGAATAGTTCTCTGCCACATGCATTCATCTTCACCCCCTGCCTTCTGTCCCCAGAGTTAGGGTGGGGCTTCGCTAGCAGCGGTGGCTCTTCCGTCCCAAGGACCAGCCCATGGATTTCCACTGCTCCTCTCCTCTGCCTTCTGCGCATCCGTGTGTCAGGCACTGGACCCATCTGTTCCTCCTCTTCCTCATCAGTCATCTCCA